ATTCATGTGGATGTTAATGGAAGGAGTTGTGCTATATGTATCACTGGTGAAGGTTTTTGTGAAGCATCCCAAACACTACATCATTGGATTCACAGTCCTCAGCTACGGTACAGCCCATAGTAATAAATAAAACATTATTTTTAAATGTTATTGTAGGAGTTCCTGCTTTGTATATGCTTTTTATAGTGCCAATTGGATTTTTGGTCAATACTTCTGATCACAGTCACTACCTTTATTATGATGATAATGGGGATCTTGTTGCGTAAGTTTCGAAAGTGCATTAATTAATTTTCTTGTTTGTACTGTTATTAATACAGTTGCTGGTTAAACTATGAGAGTGGATTCATATGGTCATTCATTGGTCCTGTTATACTAATCATTTTGGTGAGTCACCTTCTGTTTACTGATCAACGTATTGATAATGAAACTAGGCAAATGTCGGCTTCCTTGTTATGGCTATAGTCATTATGAAAAGACACCAAAAGAAACAAATTCACAAGAAACAATCATTCCAAACAAAGTATGTAACAGCACATCATGCACCTTACATTATCTGTGAACATAATTAGATATTGGATCAAGGCTTTTTTGTCACTGACAATAGTAATGGGCATTGGATACATAGTGAATATATTATTCTTCACAAGGCAACTAATTTTTATCGCTTACATTTCAACGATTTTCACTGCCGGTCAGGGTATCATTATATTCATATTATACGTACCACTCTCAAGCAATGTAAGTGTATAAATTCTATATTATTGTGTATAATTAATTATTACTTTTGTAGGTAAGAGAAGCTTATGTGAGATGGTGGAAAAAGAAACAAGCCAATTCCACGATACTTAGTAGAATGAGATTCCACTCATCCAGTGACACTGTGAGTTAGTATCTGAATATATATACTTCATCTAATAGATGATCACAATAAATGTAGATGAATGGCATTAAGAAAAAGAAATCAGTAGTAGAAAATATTTATGGACAGTATACACTAGGAACATATGGAGGTATGCTCATTATGACCTACTTTTAGCTGTTATTGTTTTCATTGTTAATGTTGATGTTTATATTTACTATAGGAGAGGACTTGGATGTAAAAATCGAATCAAAGGATAGCAGTCCATCTCCATCATCAACACTGTCTAAAGTTTGAAGCATTCAAAACAACAGGATATGATGATTTTTGCGTCACTTCTTTCGTAGTACATATAGAGATAGTATTATATGCTTTATATCATGTGTTTGTGTATAATTTGTTGGTCATTTGTAAGTTATCTGTTTAACCTAGACTCCCTTGTAACTGCACTCTGTCTCATAAAGAATGCCAAATTATGGCAAGGCAGGAAGAATAATAATTTTATTATTTTATTTTATAATTTAATTTATACAAATCTTTATACAAGACATGTTATAAACAATTCTTTTGAGTGAGCATCATTCAGGAAGTTTACCTATCACATGTAAACACTACTAAAATAATTATTAACAGGACAAGTTGGTGTCATACATAATCATCATCTTCTATACTATTATTAAAGTTATCACTAATCCCATTAAAGTCCAGATAGCCAGCCAATGGCTCAATGAGTGCATTGATTGATGATACTAAATCACTGAACACTGGCCTATCATTAGGAAACTCAGACCAACATGAAGTCATTAGTGAGTATCTATAATAAGGAAAAGGAATTACAACGTTTATTAAAATGATCATGATATGTATCATTAGTTATAATCAAAGCACAATGACAAACCCAGTACATGTTCATGGGCATAGTCCATTACATACATTTCTTTTGAGCAGGCTTCACCACGTGGAGCTAGTAGTCTTCCTCCAGTATCAAGAAATTCAACTACTCCTACTGGATCTAGACCAGGATAAGGTACTCTACCAAGACTGAACACTTCCCAACACAATATACCATAAGACCACTGTAAAATTAAAAATATTTTTTAGTAAATAAAATTTATTGTAGCATATATAATTATGTAGATTTTGTCAATAACTGACCACATCAGATTTCTCAGAGAACAGTCCATCATGAAGACTCTCTAATGCCATCCATTTCAAGGGTAGTTTAACAGGTGATGAGTTATTGCCTTTCAGTTGTCTGAAGTAGTTTTGAGAATATATATCTTCTGATAGACCAAAATCAGCTACTTTAATAATACCATTATCATCAATCCTATGAATAAATATTGTATTTGTCAACAGTTTAATTAGGCCACTAATGCAATTAGACAATTTGTAAAGTTATACTCTAGTAAAGGATTAACTTGGCATTATTCTGGAATCTGTATAACAATAACAAAATAGGCAGAATCATGGTTATCCACAAAGCATGCTCTAAGTGAGATAAAAAGGATGACAAGTCTTACATATGGCTTGTGATACTACAATAAGCTTATTGGAAAAAAATTTTTTTGAGGGACTTTGGCCCAATTTTAGAGCAACTAAAAAAATTCATAGAAAATTCAAATTTGGTCAGAATTAGCTCAAACTTGCTACACAACATAAGAACATGTATATGTATCTGACAAAAAGTTGCATTACTCTTGTTATTTGTGATTATGTTGCAGAGCATGTTACACATGTAGTATTCTGCTCATTAACTTAATAATTTACAAACAAAATTATGACTTACATGCAGTTTCTAGCAGCCAAATCACGATGAATGAATCTCTGTGAAGCTAAGTAGCACATTCCATTAGCAACTTGTAAACAAGCAGAGAGTAACTGTTTCCTGACATTCAGTATAATATCCTCTTCACTGGTATCAGCTACTGTAAGATTAGGTCTCTCTTTCTTGAGGTAAGACAATAAACTTCCTCTTGACATGAAAGGCATGATAATGTATGGAGCTGGTCCAAGATCAAGACACACACCAATCAGTGGTAATACATTTAAATTATCAAATGACATCATTATAATGCACTCATCCAGTAGAGAATCAATATCGCTCTTACTGTAAAGACCTGCAAATGTAACATAGTAATAAGTATAAATTCACATGCACACCAAATAATAATGATAAATACCTTTTAGAGTCTTTGCAGCAACAGTTTGTGGCATGCCATTTTTGACTGATATCAGCCCACGATACACTATACCAAGCTCGCCTATTATAAACAATTTTAAAAATACATTTCTGATTACTATCTGATGTAATCTTCACTAACCTTGGCCAACAGACTCCTGTATTTTGAGACTTGAGCCTGATATTAAATGGTTTGATAACTGTTTTATATATTCAGACGAAATCTCCTTAAGTTGATTAGAATTAATGTTGTCGCTGTCTATTATAAAACATACATATGTTTACATGTTTTGTGTACTTTAATTGTTTAAAAAATCAGAATATACTGTGCATTTTTACAAGTAGATGTACTTACTGGAGGCAATAGATCTAGTAGCTTCATTTGTGACTGGTTTCATTTTTCTTCTCTTCTTTATCATGCAAGCAAAAAATATCACTATAAGCACTGCCAGCACTCCTAATATCACAGTGACTATCACCACTGGTATTACAATAACTGCAAGTCGATCTGAAGATGGTTGTACAGTATTACTAATGGATAATGAAGGGGATATCGTGGTATCAATTAATGTTGTATCAGTGTAGAAAGAGGCTGAAGGAAATATACTGGTCTTAATTGATATTGCAGAGTAAGAGAAGAGTGCTGTTGAAGTTATCTCATCACCTGTAACAGGAAAAGTTAATCAAAATTATAGTATCAGCTGTTGTATAACCACTTTGCTATAAATGAAAAGGTAGGACTTAAGTGCATGTAATATCATGCACAAAATAGAGAAATGATCTCACTGAAAATAAGAGTATAATACATGAAATAAGGGGGTACTTGTTAACTGGTGCAATAAATTGAACAAAAAATAAGCATAAAAATAAATTATCAATAATAAATTCACAGATTGCATTATAGAAAAATCTTTCACACAATGGTATAGAATACCAGTTTGCAAGTATCCTCAATTTAAATTGAATTATCAAAAGAATTTTTTATAGGACAGCACAGGAAGTTTAAAGCTCATAAATGTTCACTTACTGTTTATTGATACACAGTCTATTCCATTGTTAGCTAGCACAGCTGGCTCAATGCATATACACTGATACATATTACCATCCACTCTACAGCCACTGGTACACCCACAGTCCACTGGTATTATATTAACATATCCATCACCATCATTCATTCCACTGCTAGTACTATTAACTCTCGTATTGTTGATTGTTATCAGTGAGTATCCACCTCCACCTGGTATTTCTGGGCTTGATTTTGATACTTCTCCTCCCCCAAAACCACCTCCCCCTCCTCCGGAATCACAACTGCCACCTCCACCCCCAAATCCACCGTTAACACTCTTAAATGGTAGACCAGTGTTGTAAAAATTAAGACCCAAGATACAATCTAAGCCACCTCTTGAAAAAACTAACCTTTTGCTTAAAAGTTGTCCATCAATGTCTTTCATGTTTGGAGGAGCATACCAGCCACTGCCAGCCCCAGAGGAAAAGCTCATACTCTCTCCTCCAATTCCAGGTCTCATTCCAGTACTACCAATATTGTCTACAAGACTATCAGTATATGAAGGTCTTCCATCAATAAATCTCTGATAAAGTTCTTCGTTTGTTTCATTACCAACTCTCAGTTGGTCTACGTTGTTATTGACAGAAGTTAAAATGGTGTCATAGTTGGTCTGTAGGGAAGTGCCACCTCCACCAGCAGCTACTATGAATGGAAGAATAGACTGGGAGTAACCACCAGTTGAGTTTCTAGGCCATATCATACTTCCACCTCCTCCTCCTCCTCCTCCTAGTCTTGATTTGAATAAAGGAAGAGACTCAGCATTCCACATCGACAGACACTCATCAGCTTCAGTGAGATTAGTAGGAGGATTAATGCATAGCTTGTATGTGGAGTTAGTATCACACGGCCCAAGTCCTCTATGTCCCACTAGCACAAGCACAGAGCCATTCACTTGTGTGTCAATCAATAATTGAGTTTGTAATATGACACCTCTGGATTTCTTAATGTTGCATAAGCCTCGGCCACCAGAAGCCCCAGCAACGGTTACATTGTAAGTCCCTGAGCGAGGAAATGTGAACGTTTGTCCACCAAAGAACCCAAGGTTTTCTGAATCATCAGTAAGATAATGTTGAATGGGAGAATTAATATTTTGATAGTATTGGAGGCAAGATTGATATGATGTGCCATTTGCCCCAGTTCCATTGCATGTTGTAAAGTAATACGACACCTCTGAGAGACCTGTAGACATGAAAAAAAAGATACTTTATGCTATTATTATGAGACTTTTACATTATATTTTAAATTTTTCTTTACTAGTGCAATTAATTTTTGCAAAGTATTATAAACCATAATAAAAATAATTCCATGGTAGAGTATGTACTAAAATACACTACTCTTAGTTATCTAAAGGAAATTGCAAAGCTTAGATTGCCAGTTGATCTGTTAAAAATTACCTATGCATACAAATTAAAACGATAATGTGCAGCATCATTACACACAGCATGGTTCCACACATCTTCTCACCATAAATAAGGAATTGAATGCAAAAATAATAATGCTGTTTTACCACTAGGTAAAATCAATGATTATGGATGCACAAAAATTCAACCAAGCAGTCTTTATCTTGCCATTTCTCTATACCTTCCCACAACACGAGGATAACAACATTAATAGTTAGCATAGAGCTGTGGAAAAGATTTAAAGTGTGTACACTACACACTTGTAATTTGTTATATCTGTAATAACAAAATAAACTGATGGAGTACTAAAACACACTACAAATTTCAAATACATTATCGGGAAGATGCATACACACAGTTCTATACATCCCTGCATACACACTTTTATACTGCTTAGTGTGATGGGCCTTGACATGCAGAGGCTGAAAAAAGCAATACAATCAAGACAATTTATAATTAAAGAATTGATCAGGGCGTAGATCGTAATTAAACTGACTATATGGTAAAAAATGAAGGCTAATGGTGTTCAGAATTTATGCTTATTTCACTAATGATTTAAATTACATTAATAATAAAAATTACAAACTAATCTGGGAGTTGCTGAAGCCCCACATTGCTTACTCCTCCATTTAGGCTTTCCCTCGCAGCAACTGATTATTAACAGGATCCAGATGGCAACGGCCATTGAGCAATCTATACTGAAAGATGAGGCTAAGAGCTCTTTGATTGAAACCCGAGCAATGATACTCTTTAAAAGAAACTACAAAATAGTCTAGCAAAAATACTAGTTATTAAATTGGTCTGCCAATTTAATAACTGCTAGATTTAATAACTCACACAATTTTATCATTAATTCACTTAAAACATTTCCATGGAAAACAATTAAATCTATAAAATATTTTTTGAGCCCCATTCACAATGTTTACTCAATACAGACAAAAATAATTAATTTACATATTATGTATAATTATTGTACACTATCATTATCTTCAATACTATTATTAAAGTTATTACTAATCCCATTAAAGTCCAGATAGCCAGCCAATGGCTCAATGAGTGCATTGATTGATGATACTAAATCACTGAACACTGGCCTATCATCAGGAGACTCAGACCAACATGAAGTCATCAATGAGTATCTATAATATAAGGATAAGGAATTACAACGTTTATTAAAATGATCATGATATGCATCATTAGTTATAATTAAAGCACAATAACAAACCCAGTAGATACTCATGAGCATAGTCCATTACATACATTTCTTTTGAGCAGGCTTCACCACGTGGAGCTAGTAGTCTTCCTCCAGTATCAAGAAATTCAACTACTCCTACTGGATCTAGACCAGGATAAGGTGCTCTACCAAGACTGAACACTTCCCAACACAATATACCATAAGACCACTGTAAATTTAAAAATATTTTTAGTAAATAAAATTTACTGTAGCATACATAATTATGTAGATTTTGTCAATAACTGACCACATCAGTTTTTTTAGAGAACAGTCCATCATGGAGACTCTCTATTGCCATCCATTTCACTGGTAGTTTAACAGTTGTCAAGGATGGTGAGTCATTGCTGTTTCTCTTAAATTGTCTGAAGTAGTTTTTAGCATATATATCTTCTGATAGACCAAAATCAGCTACTTTAATGATACCATTATCATCAATCCTATAAAATTGTATTTGTGTAAAGTTTAATTAGGCTACTAATGCAATTAGATAATCTTTAAGGTTATAATCTAGTAAAGGATTAGTTTGGCATTATTCTGGACTCTGTTGTAACAATAACAAAATAGACAATCCCACAAAGCATACTCTAAGTGAGCTAAAAAGCATGCTTTATAAGATGACAAGCCTTACATATGGTTTGAGATTTCGTTCTTAGAGATTATTGGAAAAATAGCCAAATTTTTTGAGCAGCTTTAAAAATTTATAAAAAATCCAAATTTGATCAGGATCTAATCAAGCTCGCTAGACAACATAAAAACATGTATATGTATCAGAAAAAATTATAAAAACAAAGAATTCTCTCCTAGTCATTTTTGGTAAAATTTTGACAAAAACCCTGTACTATACCGTATAGCGGAAAATTTTGGAGGGACTAAAATTTGGCGAATTGCTAAATTTTGGTGATTGGCGGATTTTAATTTGGCGAATTGGTGTCCACGTGCCATTGAGCATGCGTATAATGGCTCAAAATGGCGGATTTAATTTTGGCGATTGGCTATCATAACGCCAAATTCGCCAAATTTAATTCCCTCCAAAATTTCTCGCTATACGGTAGTACAGGGACTTTGGCCCAAAGTTTGAGCAACTTTAAAAATTCATAAAAAATTAAATTTTAATTGAAATTAGCTCAAACTTTATACACTACATAAGAACATCTATATGCATTAGAATAAATTATAAAAGTTAAGGAATCTATACTTTTCATTTTTGATGAAATTTGGCCAAAATCCTTGTACTAATAGCAAGGTTGCAAAAGTCGTGGCAGCCATGGGTGAATCCTACTTAGTAACGCTACCACGTTACTAATAGTACAGGGACTTTGGCCCAATTTTTCAGTTACTTTAAAAATAAATTTTGTTGGAATCTGCTCAAACTTGCTACACTACATAATAACATGCACATATATCAGAAAAACTTAATAGTTAACTTAATTATTCATGACTTACATGCAGTTTCTAGCAGCCAAATCACGATGAATGAATCTCTGTGAAGCTAAGTAGCACATTCCATTAGCAACTTGTAAACAAATGGAGAGTAACTGTTTCCTGACATTCAGTACAATATCCTCTTCACTGGTATCAGCTACTGTAAGATTAGGTCTCTCTTTCTTGAGGTAAGACAATAAACTTCCTCTTGACATGAAAGGCATGATAATGTATGGAGCTGGTCCAAGATCAAGACACACACCAATCAGTGGTAATACATTTAAATTATCAAATGACATCATTATAATGCACTCCTCCAGTAGGGAGTCAATATCACTCTTACTGTAAAAACCTGCAAATGTAACATAGTAATGGTTATACATTCATATGCACACAGATAAATACCTTTTAAAGTTTTTGCAGCAATAGCTTGTGGTATATCATTTTTGACCGATATCAGCCCACGATACACTATACCAAATTCACCTATTATAAACAATTTTAAAAATAATATTTTTTGATCACTAGCTGATGTAATCCTCACTGACCTTGACCCACAGACTCCTGTATTGTGAGGTTCAGCCCTGATATTAAATGGCTTGATAACTGATCAATATAATGAGATGAAATCTCAACATGTTGATTATCTTCTTGAAGATTGTCACTATCTATTGGCATAGATCTAGTAGCCCCATTTGTGACTGGTCTCATTGACTGTGCCTTATTTCTTCTCTTCTTTATCAGACAATAGACAAAAATTATTATAATCTTTATCTGCACTGCTATTATCAAAGTGACTACCACCACTGGTATTATGATTGCTAGCCGATTTGAAGATCGTCGTACACGACTACTACTGGTAATAATATCAATGGATGATGAAGGGGATAGGCTAGTCTCAATTGCTGTTGCATTAGTAGAGTGGAGTGTTGTTGCTGAAGAGGTTGAAGCTGTTACCTCATTACCTGTAACAGGATAAGTTAATCAAATCACAGTATCAGCAGATCTTAACTATTGTATAAACATTATAGGATTTCATTGCCATATACATGAAAAGGTACATGTAATATCATGCACAAAACCATGCAAGGCAAGTTAAAATGATTTGAGTAGAGTAGATATTATGTACTTTGAATTGTTGTGGTGGTTGGTTGTGGCACTGTAATACCTCCATTAGAGCAACAGTCACTCGTGAGATTCAAGAAATTAATCAGGTTATCTGTATTGTCACATGTTGGCAGCACGATTCCTGGATCATTCCTATACTGCGATTCAATTTGATCAGAAGCAAGGTAGTTAATGGTGAACAACCAGATATCAGGGCAGAGCACTTCCGACATGTACTGGCAGACATTAGGACATATAGGGAGTGGTAGGTGTAGGCTATCATTGAATCCACAAGGCAGGTAGTAGTGGGTACACAGGACTCCAACTGCAATCCCACGACAGCTTTCTGGTATAGTAGGAATGAAACCAACTACTTCCTCTGCAAACTGTCTTAGTAGATATTGGGAGCCTCTAAAACGAGTCTTGGGGATATAAACATAATGGAGATCAGAGTTATAGACACTGTCACATAGTGCTGGGCTATCTCTTTGATAGTAAGGCTCACATCTTCCATTGGCACTAAAAATTAATATCATTGACAAAAATGCTTTGTTAATGAATATATATTATACTTTAATGCAGTCAATCGTTGTTCATTGAAATCAGTGCTACACACAGTCATATTGGGAACAGACTCTTCATTAGGTACTATTACAAACTGAAATTAATTTCATGTATGAATGATCATTTTGTGTACCTGATTCTTGACAATGCACACTCACATCAGCATCATGATTACAGTCATTAATACCAATCCCTGAATGACTACAGTTGAGTATAGTCTCCTCTGATCCAGTGCATACTACTTCATCTAAATGTATGGGCCCAGCTCCAGGACCAAAAAATGCTCTATTAAGATATGCAGCACCTAATAAGAAAAAAATACTTGTAAATGCCAAATTATTACCAATTATTTATCAACTACAAATCACTAAGTTTAGTATCCTACCATAAGTAGGGTATCCTAGTTGCCTGCAGACCACCTCAGCATTAGTGTGAGTCCATCCATCATCACACACAGTGCCCCATTCATTGTTAATACAAATCTCTACTCTTCCTACATTAGGCACATCCCCATCCACTAACTGTACATCACCTTCCACACAACCTGTACAGAAAGAGAGCAATTATATCATGTACACTTATACCAGTACACAAGATAGTAAAAGTATAAGCTTACCATAGGCTACTGCTAAAATCCAACAGAGAAATAAGGATAAGAGGAGCATATTCTGGTGAAATGACTTTCAGTCCCAGCAAGAGTAACCACATCTAGGATTGTTGTATAATACATGATAACACTTTTAAATCTAATTTAGATAATGAGCTTTTTATTAGGTGGATGTAAACATTAAGGGGGCAGCATGAGCTATCTATAGATATTTTTGACTAAGGCCTGGTTTACAGACCTGTGTAACTTAATATTATATAAAAGCATCACTTTGTCTCTTCTAGCATTAATAATACATGTATGTACACAAACAAAAAACTTTTCATCAGTTTAAATAAGTTCCTAAGACTTAAATCGATCTAAAATTGATTTGTCTTCCATCTTCATTTGGTCACCCTTTGCCTTAGTTGATCTCAATTTTGCCTTGAGTAGTTGCTATTAATAGTACAACAGAGTAACACAATTGATGATGTAATAATGACTCACCCTTGCTCTCCTGTCCAAAATCTTTTGTTTCCTGGAAGCTAGTTTACCAGGAGTGCTACGACCTCTCTTCTTCATTTTCAATACAATCTTTTTCTTTTTCACCTACAGAAAGTTAAAGTGCACAACTCTTAATGTTATTAACATAGAAAGGCAGCAGGCTCAATATCTTTTGTTTTTTTGCAATTTTTGTGATTTTTGCCCTGTTTATAGAAAGAAACATTTAATTGAGCAAAAAATGGTACCACTATACAGCATTGCTTTAGTTTGGCAATTTTAAATTGGTAGTAAGGAGAATAGCTCCTATATGATAATGATAGCTAAACATAAACAACTTTCATTACCAAATCCAATTGCCAAAAACAAAATTAAAGTAAAGTAGTACATGCATGTGCTGTCATAGGAATAAAAGCAAAATGACTCTACAACCACAAATAGAACAATGAAATTACTTTGTCATTCCCTTGTGCATTATTCTCAGCCTCTATTGGCCCAGTGTACACTTGAGTGAGGTTCTGTGGCTCTAACATTATGAGATCTGCTGGTATCTTCTCCAGCAATGCCTTCACTTCCCATTCTTGCCTCTGTCTTTTACTTTGATAAGGATTAACCTCAAGACCATCAATATTAGCCTCACCAGCACCTAACAGCAGAAAACATAATTATTGACATAAAATATATGATACTATAGAGCTAATGATTCTGGCAAGTTTTGTTTTAGAAAATCATATACTAGAATCTACATTGTTTAAGCAAAAAATTAAAAAGTATAACAATTACCAACTATGCAATATTTATAGTACACATATATACCTGGTACAACAATGCTAGTGAACCCGTTACTGTGTCCCAGGCCAAGACAATCCTCAAAGGGGCAGAACTGAAGTTTGTGTAGCTGTCCTGAGAGACGATACTTAAGATAAGGAGTGTATGGCTCTGACTGACTAAAAACATCTTTCCAAATCTAAAAAAGAAATGGGTGGAGGATAAAGGAGAGACTTCATGTAGAATAAATTATAAAAATAGAGATTTCTCTTCTAGTAATTTCTTGGCAAAAATAATTGGTTGTTCTATACAGTGCAGGGCATAATTTTGAGTTTTTATAACTTGAAAAGTTTGTAAAAAATCTAATTTTGATCGGAATCAGCTCAAACTTGCTACACAACATAACAACATGTATATGTATCAGAATACATTATAAAAATGGAGATTTCTCACCTAGTCATTTTTGGCAAAATTTGGCCAAAGACCCTGTACTATAGTACAGGGACTTTGGTCCAATTTTTGAGTAACTTTAAAAATTTGTAAAAAATCAAATTTTGATTGGAACCAGCTCAAACTTGCTACAAAACATAACAACATGTATGTGTATCAGAAAAAAAAATGGAGAAATCTATCCTTGAAATTTTTGTCAAAATGCAATGCATCCTGTAATGACATAATGCAGGTTGTCTTTAATTGGCTTAATTTATGGTAAGACAGGAAGTGCTGTACAAACCAATGGGCACCGTTTACATAAGGTAAGAATAGAAATAATCTCTATCCATACCTTAAGTAAACGGTGCCCATCGATTTGTACAGCACTTTCTGTCTTAACGTATAGCCTTACATTACGTTAATTGTGCAGTGTGAATCAGCCTTTAGGCTTACCTCACAACGACTGCCATATCCAAATGCTAAGAGTCCCCTTTGACTGATATCAAGTGATGAAGGAGGGGAAGCAATAGGGAAACAGTTGACTGGTTTATACTGCCTAATGTCCCACACTCTTATCTTAGCATCAAACCCTCCAGTAACCATATACCTTAGTAGAAATAAAGAAGACATATATTGTAGTGTAAAATGGTAGCATTACAGTCCACTGTGTATACTACATATCATGGGCAAGTACAATGCTATTGCTACTGTTGTAAAGGCCTTTTCACACTGGCACATTTTGTAAAGCACTTTGTGCGTTTTCATTAATTTAAGACCACTCTAGTGTAAACATGATTAATGCGCATCAATGCAGCTTTACTTTTGCCAGTGTAAAAAAGACCTTAAAATGCAAGTTATTTTACTGAAGTTGTACATGTACAAGTTGTACATGTATGTATATTCCTTGACATCATCACAAATTAGTAGATATACCGTATAGCGTCAAATTTTCATGGGTGAAAGTTTTCGTGATTCCATACATTTTTGCTTTCAAGTAAATTTCCGTTAAAAAATTTTTGTGATTTAAATAAAATTTCGTGATGATTAAAACCACGCCTATCCACGTGGCAGCTAGTAGCTAGCTAGCCTTGCAGCTGGACTTGGAGAAGAAGCAACATGAGTGGTAGCATTATTCGATATTAATTCCCTTCGTGTATCCGTGGCTATCACGTATACCAAGAAAGGTGGGCTCTCTTTATAGGAGAGACTCTTAGCTGTGCCAGAGAAACAAATAACAGGCGTGATGGGACACCCCCACATTTATATCAAAATTAAATTTCGTGAAAAATATTTTTGTGATTGTCCATTCAATCACAAAAATCACGAAAATTTGACGCTATATGATACACATAAGTAGAGATGACATATTATATGCATACATGCTAGTACATGATACTTATTTACTCATGATATAAACAATGTCAAAATTATACACTACCTTCCTTCTCTATCAATGGCAATATCAGAGACCCTCCCCCTATGACAGAGCATCTTCACAGCTGGCTTTGACATGTTAGGAGTCCACATACTGACAGTTCCATTATGATGACCTAATGTGACGACTCCATTGTGAGGATTGGATGACAGAGCTCTCAGTGGACCCATTTTAGTGTAGTGCCGTGATATAAACTGACCAATGGATACATCAAGATATGACAACACACCATACTCATTCTATGAGGAGGAGAGAAAGTTCGGTAAAATTTGGCATAAAGACTGTGTACTATAGTACATGGTCAAAGGAATTAAATTTGCAATTTCTTCAATCGTACTCATGGCTTACCGTATTTCCTTAAATAAGGGCCTAGGCATAGGCAAAATCACAAAAAATAAAATAAAAAAGCGCAAAAACCCAGGCTCAAACCCACGACTCTATGTTCCTAAGACTGAGGATAAACAATTAGGCTATTGGACCATTCTAAGCACATGAGCAGATAACACTGGTTAAAATATGCGTATCCATAGTGGTAATATATTAGTGATAGGCACTTATTTGAGTAGGGTCCCTATTCAAGGAAATACAGTATTCAAATGAATCATGCAACTTGGAACTCTCATTAAGTAATTAGTGTGGAATCTTCCCAGCCTAACATTTCAAGCCTTTGTATGACAACAACTCAGTTAATTAAGTCTGTAGTAAAAACACAGGACCAACAAACTATCATGTATTTACTAGTATAACACTGCAACACCAACAAACTACCGTACAGTTGGAAATGCTGGTGGAAAATTAATATTGGTAGATTGGCAATATGCTGAATGACTGACTGACTGCCAATGTAAAATCTACCGTTTTGATTTATTCTGAGCATGCACAATAACTGACAGTGACATGTAGCCAATATAGAATTCATTAATTGCAAAATTTTATTAAATATAACTCTTGCCAATATTTCTGGCTATACTGTATCATGCAATTAAACTATACAATGTATGTATTACATGTACAGTCAAATCTGTCTATTCCAGACCCAGTAATGCTGTACTGATTATGGAAGTATCCTCATTACATTAATATAAAATTATTAAGACCACTACTACCTGTCCTGATTATAGAGGCATTCACAATAGCAGGTTTGACTCCAATTTTTTTTAGAAGTTCATTTATTCACAACAAATAAACCCTGTGAAAATTTGCAACTACACAAAACATGCACATAAATAATGCAACTCTCCCTAGCTCTGCCTCTTATACTTATACCCAGACGTACGTACATACAGAACTACTACTTCATCCCAATTAGCATTTGTGTGCAATACTACAATTAAAAACTCCCAACTACTGTATAGCTAGAAATTTCTGTGGCCCAAAATTTTTTCGAATTGCCAAAAAATGACTTTTGCTGATTTTATTTTTGCGAATCATTTCTACTCAAACACACTATTATTCTTCACTGATCAATGGCTGCTCTTCCTTACTTACCTGAACTATAGCTGACGATGACACAAAGCTCTATTCAGGATATTAGCCATGTGGGCGTGGTGGGCCACACCTTTTAATTCACCTAATTTTTGGAGGATTTAATAATTATTCTTGCAATTTTTTTCAAATTCAAAACATTCTCAAAAATTTTGGGCCACAGAAGTTTCTAGCTATAAAGTATTGTTGCTATTATAGTGTAGTCACACGTGACACATTTACTATAAGGAATCAATTCCTTAATGATTACAGACACGGCCAGGTCATGTAAATCTCACTCTAACTGATCTTTCGTTATTTAACAATTATTGGCAAATAAATTTTCAGTTAAACAAAATTCCGGCTATCAATATTATCAAAAATAGTTTAAACAAAAAAGTCCTATCAGAAATAGTTCAAAAAGGCCTAGCTATCAAAAATAAGTACAGTTAAACAAAAGGTCCTATGAAAAATTAGTCCTATTCTTTATAGATAGCCGGTCCATGATGTATTTTCATGCAGGTACGGGATATGCTTGATGAACTGTCCATGTTCCAAACCAGTCACCAGCGTTCCAGTTTATCGACATAAAAATACGATTACCTAAAGTATCTAAAATTTCAAATTCATACTCTCTCCAGTTCTCAAGCCAATAACCATAGGAATCAATTCTAGTCATGCCCAGGGAATGTTGTGCTATTTTTATCATGACTATGCCTTCCTTCCAGGCAGCATCTACAGCATCTTCTGGAATGTATATTCCATCTTCCCAGCCATAACTAGAGGTAAGTCTTTTATGAGCGAAAGGAATCCTATCGCCATTTTCAGCCCACTCGTTCCTAGATGAATAAATATAAGAGTTTTCGGCCACTCTTGGCTTTGTGTTTCTGTATTCTACGAAAGCTCCAGCTTTTGCGGAATTACTATCAACCATCGCAATCCATGAATTGGCCCCATCAAACTTTATGCCTTTGTAGGGTGTAACTTTATATAGAACCTGATTGGCCCCAAATTTGCCATCCTTGTATTTTAAAACCCGTAGCTCTGCTTTCATGTACAAACCTCTTGATTCAATCTCAAAATAATCAGCCGATACTGTAAACGGTCTCACTTCAACAGTTAAATGTGTTTTCGTCTGTTTAGAGTTCAGCTCTCCTATCCATTTGAACGTCCCAGTAGGAGAATTAAATGGCACAATGAAGAAAAAGGGGGCCCTGATATCCGAGGTGCTTTTTGGAGAGTCATTTTTCATTACACCAGGATACTCTATATCATGAGGGCAGCCATTACTGGTATAGGATTTTTCATAAGTCACTTCATCCTGTAAACCATTATTATCATTCAGTTGGTATATAACTGCATGATCATGAACATGTCTCTTTATCGTCTCCTCGAGTCCAGTTGCATCTCCTCGATAATTGACAGAAAGGAAAAGCATAACCTGCATTATACCATTGGCATAGACATTGGTCCTTTGGAGGGATCCATGAGCCTCGTGATATATACCAACAAGATCAATAAGATTAGAATCAAACTCAGCCGATGAAACCATACTGAATATTCCTCAAAGAATAAACTAGAAACTGGTCCTGTTACTTTTATACAAACCAGTAGAGGAAAGAGGAAGGAAACATGTTCCTATAGTGTCCCCCTATTGTTCTCCTCTTTGGGTGGACAAAAGATAAGATACACTATACACATGAATTTATACAGTCATTGTACCTGCAAGACAACAATGGAGCATTGTAAGTCTGTAGGACCAACAAAACTATCATGTATATACTAGTAGAACACTACAGCACAAACAGACTATCATGTATTTACTAGTATAACACTGCAACACCAAGAGACTACCATACAGTTGGAGAAAATGACTATTGATGGATTGGCAATATGCTGAGTGACTGCCAATATAAAGTTTATAAAATCCATCATTCTGATTCATTCTGAGCATACACAATGACTGACAATGACACGTGGCTCCTAAATGGACAATATAAAACCCATCACTTGCAAAATTTTTAGCAAAATTAACAAATATAACTCTTGACAACATTTCCAGCTGTGACCTGAAGGGCTGGGGTCAAATAAATTGCAATCGTAATCGTATTTATAAACAAAAATCAGATGTAATTGCAATTGTATTTAATTACCAACCTGAAAGTCACTACTTAATTGTAAAAATACTGCCATACGTAGACTTCATAATTATGTACATGTACATTAAGACACATGTACCTATATGTGTAGTGCAGGAAAAGCTATAGGCAGTCTGTTTGATAAATGCTTTAAAGAACTAATGCTCATTAGTAACATTGTGCTGTATGTAATAAGCATAAAGTATTTAAACTAAAACTCTCAATTGTAATTGCAATGTAATTAAATACAATACTAAAAGTGGTATTTGCAATTGTATTTGCAGCTGATATTATTACTCATAATTGCACTTGCAATGAAATACAATGAATGAATATTTGACCCTATGTCTGGACTAAACTGTATCATGCATTTAAACTATCATGTACTAGTATTTGCTGTTACATGTAATATGACTCAAATCAATGGTTGGAATACTCTCATCTTACATTGTATTCCTATAGTGTCCCCCTATTGTTCTCCTCTTTGGTTGGACAAAAGATAAGATACACTATACACATGAATTTATACAGTCATTGTACCTGCAAGACAACAATGGAGCATTGTAAGTCTGTAGGACCAACAAACTATCATGTATTTACTAGTATAACGCTGTAACACCAACAGACTATGGTACAGTTGGAGAAAATGACTATTGATGGAATGGCAATATGCCGAATGACTGCCAATATGAAATCTATAAAATCCATCATTCTGATTCATTCTGAGCATGCACAATGACTGACAATGACACGTGGCTCCAAAATTACCGAATATAACTCCCGCCAATATTCCCGGCTGTATTATATCATAATTAAACTATCATGTAGTCTAGTATTGGTATTGCATGTACATGTAGTATGACTCATTAACCAATGGTTGGAATACTGTCATCTAACATTGTACATGCATACAATGTAAGTGGTCAATCCAACTTATATTAATGTACATGTACATGTATACAACATGTTACCGTATAGCTCCAAATTTTCGTCAGTCAAAAATTTCGTCAAAATCTTAATTTCTTGTTAAAATTAATTTTCGTCAATAAAAATTTTCGTCATTTTTGGTATTTATCCGCATGCTACCCACGTGGAACAAAAATTTCGTTGGTTAAAAATTTTGTCAAGCAAAAGTACCTGACGAATTTGACGAAAATTTGGAGCTATACGGTAGTTTTTATTTTGTACTGACAATGCTAAGTTACTACGAAGGCAATGTTACCAACCAGACAAACAATTATTACTAAAACATGTATCCTTAAGTAAACAATTCTGCATTACTTCACTTTGCATTTTTTTAAAATCAGAATTGGCTCACATTTCATGAATATAAAGTTAATGAAATTGCTAGTGTATTAATTGACTTACTGCGGAGACTAAGAGGAAGTGATAAGGAAGGAATCCAAGTTTGTTGACTGACATCATTTTTGATATTCTGTGTAACTCGGTACCAGTTCTATCATAGATGTACACAAACTGCTTCTGAGCGGCAGCAAACATTGTCTCATTGTGAAGATAACTAGTAACAGAAAAAGTATTCTCAGAAAAAAATCATAATTGGTAACAATGTAATCATCATACAAAATATTTTTCATAAACAAGCATACACTATAACTCAAAAATTTTTAGTCGTAATCAGCTCAAAAATTCTACATAGCATAAGAACATCAATATGTATCAGGAAATGTAATAAAAATTGGGGGTGATTTTTTAGCCATTTTTTGGAAAAACCATGGGCTATAGTACAGGGTAATTTTCAAATTTGGCATATTTTTTTAAATGGCCATAACTTGAAAAATTTAAGATGGAATCAGCTCAAACTTTCTACATAACATAAAAACATCAATATGTATCAGAAAATGTAATAAAAATTGGGGGTGATTTTTTAGTCATTTTTTGGAAAAACCATGGGCTATATAGTACAAGGTAATTTTCAAATTTGGCATATTTTTTAAATGGCCATAACTTGAAAAATTTAAGACGGAATCAGCTCAAACTTTCTACATAACATAAAAACATCAATATGTATCAGAAAATGTAACAAAAATTGGAAGTGATTTCGGAGCCATTTTTTGAAAAAACCATGGGCATAGTACAGGGTAATTTTCAGATTTTGGCATATTTTAAAAAATGGTCATAACTCAAAAAATTCAAGTTGGAATCGGCTCAAACTTTCTACATAACATAAGGACATCAATATGCATCAGAAAATGTAATAAAAATTTGGGGTGATTTTTTAGTCATTTTTTGGAAAAACCATGGGCTATAGTACAGGGTAATTTTCAAATTTGGCATATTTTTTTAAATGGCCATAACTTGAAAAATTTAAGACGGAATCAGCTCAAACTTTCTACATAACATAAGAGCATCAATATGTATCAGAAAACGTAACAAAAATTGGAACTGATTTCAGAGCCATTTTTTGAAAAAACCATGGGCTATAGTACAGGGTAATTTTCAGATTTTGGCATATTTTAAAAAATGGTCATAACTCAAAAAATTCAAGTTGGAATCGGCTCAAACTTTCTACACAGCATAAGGGCATCAATATGTATTAGAAAATGTTATAAAAATGGAAAATCCTCTTTGTGTTATTTTTTAAATGGAATACATGTACCTAGCCTATGAAGGTCCATAAAATAGCACCATAATCTTTTTTACTAATACAAAATATTAGCAACTACAACATAATTGAAAGTAAGGGTTCATTATGTTTACTGGATATCACGTGTTGTCTCTAGCACTTGTATCTCACAGCCAAGGTTCTTAGACCTCCAATCAAATGAAGCAATGTGACCTTTAGACCCACCCAATAGGAGCTGACTGAGAGAAAGGAGAGAGGAAAGAGGAGAATGAGACTCAAGCAATGGAGGACATAAAAAATTAAAGGAAGACAAAGAAGAGATAGAAATGTAAAAGACGTAGAGAGAAAGAAAGCTTGTAATTGTACCGTCCACTTCTTGAATAATTGATAGAGTATGGTCCAAGCTCATTCAACTTAATATTAAAATACTACAAATAATAATCACACGACATTCACACAATAAGCCAGTGACTCACTTGAGTAGCGACTGCTAGTGGAGCCTGACCTACAATTTCCTCTTGAGTCAAATCAATTGTACGCTCATTGCTGTTCTCAGCCACAATTAAACTATGAGAGATACAAAGTACAAACATTTCATCATATTTATTGTTATTAGTATTGTTATTATTAGTATTACCCTGGCTCCTCGAGATTGTGTATCAGTTCAGCACGTGCTGCATGAGTAGCTGATCTCTGTCCCTCCTCTTCACTTTTATCCACCAGATGCTTCAATTGAAAATACTTTATCTTCTAATCCCCCAAAATAGCTAAATTATCTAACTTTTATTGATCATACTTTCTTAGGTCGGCTATGATTACTTCTTCTGTCATATCTGATGACTTTTTCTTTTGTTTTGGGATCCTCCAGAGCTCTCTCTTCTCTCTTTTTCTCTGTTTCCTTCCATTCTTCTGGCAAGGAAGACAACATGATGGTGGACACGTGGGTGGGTGTGGCGGACCACACCTTATTGTTACGTGCACAAAATCCGTATACTTTAACCACGTGCATACACGTGATCAGCATAAGTATTTTTTAACATCTTAAAATATAAAATACAACTACTGTAGAAGCTACATTCAAAGTTAAGTTACTATTAAAACTAGTACTATGGGACTAATAAAATATTAATTGTTCTCTCTTTGCACTCAAATAGTCAAGCTTTTCATTATCCCTCAAAAGGGGCTCTTCTTCTTGAAACTCATACTGCTGAAATGGGGAAGTGAAATTTAATTTCGAACAGCAATATCCTTTGATTACTGTGCAAATGTGAGCTACTGCTGTAATCAAGAAAGCAATCATTGACAGACTAACTGATATTGCAGTTATTACACTTGTAGAAGTTGCTCCAAAGTTTGATTTAAATTGATTTATTAATGCTATTGAGAATGCTGTTATACCAAGATTAGCCATGTAGAATAATTCCAGTGCATTTAGTATCTTATTACGATACACTTCCTTTGCTAGAAGGTGTATCAGGAGACCAGCAATGAAAACAGTAATGTAGTTATTGACTATTGGAATTGCTCCTGTGGTGTATGAGAATACAGTAGTCAGTAGTAGACGTATTATCAGTAGGAGTCCAGTCCAGTATCTATACTTGTCCTTATATGGCCCAGTGTATGCATCAAGGAATGGTTTGAATCTATAGAAAGGATCCCAGGAACTGCGACAGTATCTGCCACATGACCTCTGCATCCACTGACTGGAGAATATTGTTATTGTGAACAATAGTCCAGTTAGCATGACAACGAGTGATAGGATAAACAAA